AAAGAGAATGTGTCTAAAAAGGAGGAAAAGGTTAAACTGCAAGGAGTAGGTTTAAAAGAATACACTGCAAGCATTTAAAAACAAACGCTTTCCTGAATCTTATGAGGCAAGAAAAAGGGGGAGTGGGGGAGCTTAGCACTTTGAATTCCATGAGACAGGGCTTATGATAATAAGTGAATAGGGCAAGATGCCCAAACTATCAGAGTATGATTCCGACTTTATTAGAAAATCATTTCCTATTAGTCATGACTGAGGGCAGTGCTGGGACGAGCAGCCCGACGGCTGCGTCTTTCCTTCACCAACCTCCGAACTCGCTGCGTGGAGTCATTGCTGACTCACAGTGGCCCCGTGGCTTCCACGACTGCAACTGTTTACAGCATGTCTTCCTACCTTGAAGCTGCTGCTGCTGCTGCTGCTGGTTTCGAAATGCTGACCAGATGGATTGCAGCTCAACTCGCAACCACTACACCATTAACCCTTCATGTCCAGCATTCTAGTCAGCACCCTGAGGGTGGCGCTCCAGGGACCACCCTGCAACAGGTCAAAACCCATGCACTGTATTCTAAACCAATTTCCAAGCTCCAGGATTGAAAGGAAGGATCCCGACGAGGAATGGCCTGGCATGGATTTGGACGCTTTTAGGTACAAACACATCAGAACTCGGGTGAAAATGCATGAAAATCCAGTTTCAGGCAGGAGCTAAGTGAAGACAAATAATAAATGAAGGATATAACTCGGTGTCTACAGTGTACCGGATCCACTGCAAACAGGGACCACCACAGGGCTGTATCTGTCCAGAGCACAAGAAGTCTACCTTAGCAGTTTATGCCCAATAATAAGTATGGGTGTAAGCAGAGCACAACCCAGCCATTTCACGGATCACATACATCCAAAGGTAACATTTCTTTTCACCACTACATAAATCAATCCGTAGAATTTAGCGTCCACTAAATAGTTTCACAGGCGTCTGCCGTTGCCTTTGTATATGATGTTTCTCTGAGAACTTTGTTGAACTGTGTTTCACTGAGACTCGTGAGTTTTATTTTTATTATTTTACCTTTTGCAAGTACAGAACTGTCCCCTTCAGCACAGCATAAAAGGTTTTCCACCCTCGCTTTCCTCTGGGAGCTAGAAAGGGGGGAAAAAAGGACAATTTTATTTGAGAGCAATTAGTGTTTCAGAGAGACTCAAGGACCCGCCTGTGACTGCGCCAACAGAGGTGGCAGATTCGGCACAGAGCTCCCACCAACAGCTCATCCGTCGGTGGAGTCTTACTCTTTGTACATGACAGTATCTTCCAGGTGTTGTCTCACTTAACCCTCCCAGTAATTCTGATAGATACATATATATATATACATATACATGCAAGCATAGCGCAGTCTTCTACTCATGGCACCAAACTGGTGAGAGGAGAAGCTGGGTCTTGCTCCTCTAGCAGACATGACTTCACTATGCATCAATGCAGAGAAGCGTAAAAGGCTCTCTAGAAAGGAGAATACGTTTCAAAGTATAAAAGGATTTCCCTGTAATAGATGACCAGACCACTCTTAGCATTTCTCTCACAACCCCCACAACCAGATTATACTTGTAATGATCACGTCCCTAAAAACCATGCACACCTTGGCTGGGGATCTTGCTGCCTGCACCAGCATGCTGTCTTGCCTTTTGGTGTGAACGATTCACTAGGCTGTGAATCAGCTGAGGCCACTAACCTCTCTCTCTCATCAGTCTACTTCATAGAGCCTAGCACAGAGCAGGCAGATCTTAGACACGCTTGCAATACCTCTCCCTATGAATGAACTCCTCCAGAAGCCCTTTTATTGGTTCTTGAGTAGAGAGGATGTCTCTATTGATTTATATAAGCGCATACAGACTGCCCTCCACAGATTAAGAAAAACAGATAGTTGCTGGGCTCTGAATGAGTCTTTAAGTTGAATTTGTGGGGAAGCCTCAACAGGGTCTGCCAACTAAAAGGTTGGTGGTTCAAAACCACCAGCTGCTCCTGCCTGGGGAGAAAGAGGAGAGTATCTGCTGTATGAAGATTCACAGCCTTGGAAACTCTATATAAGGTTGCCGTGAGTCGGAATCGATGCCACAGCAGTTTGGTCAATGCAAGAGGTTACCGCCCTTTCAGTGACTGGAGAGCAGCAAGGTTGCAGTTGATGGGGGCTGAGAAGGGTGCTGTGAGTACGGGTTGAGTCAAATTTAGGCCGGATTCAGAAGTGGACGCAAAACAAGCGATGTCACTGCTGACAGATGGAGCTTGGCTCAAAACAGAGAATACCAGGAAAGGATGGATTCAATCATTTCACAGTGAGAATACATGTAGTTTTTCTGAACTACATATCAATACAACTCCCAGATCAATAGGGAGAACTCTATCTTTTTAAATCCCATTTAAAAAAAAAATTGCTTGTCTTTCAAGTTGGGCACCTGATCCAATTATTCTACATTTTCAAACCATTCTGTAAATCTTTTTTGATAGACAAAATAAATTCCTATCCACCTGAGGGAACATAGGTCTTCCTATCAACACCACACCGAGGTCAAAACCAACCAACCAAACAAAAAACAAGATTCAAATCATCTGATCTGCAGGTTTTCAGACAAAAAAACCCCTCTGTCTGTGTTGTCTGCTAGCTAACCTTTAAACGTGTGCACTTGCTAACAAATGATGAAGAGCATATATTATAATCCCCCAATGAAGAATAAAAATAGATTTAACACAGCCATATATAAAATTTATGTAAGCACTCAATAGATGGTAAGTGACAACACTCCCAAAGCAGGAAAGGACACCCAGACTGACCAGAGCAGCATGGCACAGGGGCCGATGGACCATACAGAAAAGAAGACCAGCCACCAGATCGTATCTTGTCTTACAACCACCTTCTCATCCATCAGCCCCAAACTTGGTCATTCACGAATATTCATCGCCACCACCCTCACTACCCCAGGATTTCACCTACTGCACTTTCCAATGTGGATAAGCCACTTAATTTAAGCAAAGCCCTCACTTTCTTGAAGCTATTTTAAATGACACTTTGAGATCGCTTCCATTTGAGGAATTACCAATTGATACATTTCTAGATTTAGAAGTTCCCATTACTGGTGGATTCATGTAGACCAGTGGTTCTCAACCTTCCTAATGAAGTGACCCTTTAATATAGTTCCTCATGTTGTGGTGACCCCCCAACCACAAAATTATTTTTGTTGCTACTTCATAACTGTAATTTTGCTACTGTTATGAATCGGGCAACCTCGGTGAAAGGGTTGTTTGACCCCCAGGTTGAGAACTGCTGATGTAGATACTGACACCTTTATTATTATTGTTTTCTAAATTGATCTGCCTGAAATGTGGACTTAGAAGCACCCTTTCTCCCTGAGTGAATGAGAGTGTCAACTGTCACGACACTTTGAAAGTTACTTTTGTAACTTCCACAGAAGCGTAAAATGCAATCCTGCCTTGGTGTCTGTTACAATTTAGTTGTTCAATACTTAACGGAAACAACCTGCAACCTAAACTAGTGCACCACAACAGTGGGCTGGCTCTACGCGTTCTACCATGTGTTAGCCCATTTAATCCGCACATTAGTCCAGCAGCAAGGTACTATTACTATTATCTCCACTGTTCGGGTGGGACAGTGGGGGTGCACCCAGTGGCGTTCCGGAGGAGTGGGGGCACTGGGACCTGAGTGGCAAGGGGGCTTTCCAGAAGCAAGTTTCTCTCTCGCTTGCTCTCTGCCTGCCACCGGGGGTGTGGAGCCCTGAGCGAGCTCAGCGTGGACCACAGAGGGTAAATACCAACAAATGAAGTACAGGATGACCCCTCAGAATGAGGGCTGCAGACTGAGCTCAAACTGGCACCATGGCCCACCTGCTGCTAGGTGCTTGAGAGCGAGAAAACAGCTGTAACTGGAGTTACATACTGAAGACGATCTGGAAGAATGATTGAACAGATTATTGATTAGAAAATCAATGTATCCATTGCAAAGGTTTTAGTTACAATACCCAGCACCATTGTTTCGTTTCTAGGCTTTGTAAATCTCTATGGGAGTAGGCAGCTTCCCCTTGCTCCCCTGGTTAGCAGTACATCACTTACCATAAGAAAATGATAGATCTAGTGTAACAAGTGTGGGCTTAGAGTACTGGCATTTACTGTAAGAATATTTACAGAACTTAATAACAAGATATTTTATGTGTTCAACCATGCTTTCATGGCAGCTTTTAGTATGCATATGCATACTGAAGATCGAAAGATAATCAGTAGCTTTCACTTACAAAAATAATCCAATCACCTGTAAAGAATGTTGAAAGTACCAGGGACGACTACTAAGAGGGCAGACCAATTTCTCTTGGAAGAAGTATGGCCAGAGTACTTTATAGAGGTAAAGAACTTTGTCTGACACACTTTGAACATTTTGTCAAGAAAGTCCAGTCCCTGGAGAAGGACAGCATACTTGGTCAAGCGGAGGAAAAGCATAAAAGAGGAAAGGGCTCAATGAGAGGGAATGACACACGGCTGCAATAATGGGCTCAGACGCAGGGTGGCGCAGGGCAGCGCAGTGCTTCATTGCACATGGGGTCGCTATGGGGTCAGAACGGACCGCCGGCAGCGAACAACAGCTGCTACTTTTCCCTTCTAGCAGGGCTTCACACTGGTTCAGATGAGTCCAGGAGTGGCCAACACAACAAAAACCGAACCCGACTGATTTTTAAAAAGCGAGTGCACTGAAAAGAGCGCTGGAATGGGAAAAGTTATGGGCTGAGTTCTGAAGCTCTGGAAGAGGCAACTGATGCAGGAGACTGGATGATGGCCCCGACTGTGGAGAGTGACACACATCGAAAGGGGCACAAGCCAGGCACTACTTACTGTTTACAGCTCTGCCTGCATGAGGTGACGGAGAATATCATGTCTTGACTGGTTCCTTTAGTGAAGGATTTTTAGGTGCAAATTATTTTCTATTCTTCTTGTATGGGTCAGGGTAGAACTGTTAACTTTGGGGTTTGATCACCTGGCCTTTCTCCCAAAGTGCCTCGGAGCAGAAGAGTCTCCAACCCTCCTGTTAGCGGTGAATACGTAAACTGTGTGCTCCACTCAGGTACTACAAGGTTAGACTTGGACTCCTGATTTATTCTTGGCCTCCCAGGATTTCCTTTGATTTTTTCCCTGCTCAATCATTCACCTAAAACCGTGGTTTCTTACTCTACCTAGTGCCGTGACCCTTTAATACAGTTCTTCATGTTGTGGTGATCCCCCAACCATAAAATTATTTTCATTGCTACTTCATAACTGTAATTTTGCTTCTGTTACAAATTGGGCAGCCCCTTTGAAAGGGCCATTTGACCCCCAAAGGGGTCTTGACCCACAGTTTAAGAACAGCTGACTTAAAAGGTATTTTAAAATATTTTGTTTATCATTTTCAGATGTTTTATAATAGGAGCGTTTCAGAACCTGTAGGCTAACATACTATCAAAAATAAATTCTCTCTCTCTCAATATTTTTTCCCCAAGCTTTATAATCTAGGAAGAATTCATTTTGAGCAGGAAGCAGGTAATCCTGGGGTGGGGACATGGGGAAAGGAAGTGGGAAAGAGCAACTAAAAAGAAAGCAATCAGGAGAGCCCAGAGGAGAGAAAAACAGTTCAGTGTAAGGACAGAGGTGAACAATAAAGAAGCAGAAGAGACACGCGGACACAACTATTGGTTTTATGCCAACTGGAACAAAGGAAAAGAAAGGAAAGAAATGAGTCCCCAAGAAGAATGGTCTATGTGAACCATAGCTTTTTCTAGCCTGAGACCAGGGGAACCAGATGGTGCCCGGCTACCACTACTAACCTTCTGACCAGAGACACAGTGTAAGGTCCTGGTGAGGATCAGAGAAAAATGCCTAATGAAACTCAACTTCATAAGAAAGAAACCAAAGTCTCAAGGGAAAAATTAGACCATAGAACTGACACCAGAAGAACTAGATGGTGTCTGGCTCTCACCAGGGACACAACAGAAAATCTTGGTTAGAATGGGAGGAAGCAACAAAACTCAACTCAACTTCAGAAGACTAGACCAGGTTTAGGATGGTGTTGATAGAGAATAAGGAACCCCAAAGGTCTATCACCCTAAGATACTCT